TAAAGGCTTGATGTTGTTGTTGTTGTTGTTGTCAATATTTTATTTATATTATTTTGATATGCACATTATGGTTATGGGGTTTGTACCTATTGAATTAAAATAAAAAAATCATAGCAAATTTTAAAACTAACCATTGCTATAAACAGTGGCGGGGCAGAAAATTTATTAAGGGGGGCATAAATTAATTATTTTAAAATTTCTCTCAATTTTTTTTTCATTCAGGCTTAAGACCAGCATAAGAAAGTTTAAAAAATATATATTCAATTAGTATTTGATGCAAGATTTTTCACATTTAATTCCAATTTTTTTGATAAATCAACGTCCAATCAAATATAGTATATGAGTTTGATTCCTCATTAACGTAAAACATAAGATGTTCAATTGTTAAAAATACATAATGGCATTGATGCTCTTACCATTCTAGGGCCCTCCGTGCATGGAGAGATTTTTCTGTGCAAAATCTGAACACGTTCGAAGGCAAATTGGGGTGTGCCACGTCATCGGATGCACTGGGTCCCGGTGACGTGGCGCGCCACAATTCGCCTCCGAACACGTTTGAATTCCGCACATAATAATTTTCCCCGTGCACGGCCCTCCAACCAAAGCTACAATTCTTGCTCCAATACCAGGCAAGCACGTGCCCAACAATCCAGTTGCAACACTGAGAGCAACACCAGTGCACCTCCGAGCTCTGTTCCTAGCCTCTATATATAGGCCATCCTATATCTGCAGCTCATCAAATAACTAAAGAACAAGAACAAAGGAAAATTTAAAACAAGAAATTATAATCAATCAGCAATACAAAATCCATAAGAAACTAATAAACCTCAAAACTCACAACATTAAGGATATACTCGCAATCTGATGCTGGAAGTAAAAACTTATTGACTGACACTGCAGGAAGCAATCCATTGGCCTGCGGCCATCTGCCTGAGACAATGAGCATTATTATTATTTTTTAAGGGGGGGGGGGGGGGGGGGCGGGGGGGGCATGTGCCTCCCTTGCCCCCCTTCCCTCCGCCTATGGCTATGAAGAATATTACTTGACATCCAAAACTTGTTAGAGGGTTCAGTTTTATCGATATTTTGATAAAATCAAAATGAAGGGCTTAAACATTATTAACTATTACATAATGAAGCCAATTTTAAGAGGTAGGCTTGTGATATATTTTCAGAAATTGATAACGAATTACAAATTGTATTCCAAATAAATTTAACAATAATATCAAAAATGCATGCACCTATCAAATAACCACTTTGATTGAGTTTATGAGATATATACAATATAGAAATATTCATTAAAATGTGCCATATTCAGTGAGTATAAAAATAACTTTAATGGGTAAAATCAAAGAAGCTTTGGGTTAGCACTTAACTAAGCCTCGAAATGTTAATTATGTATCTCATTAAGTAATTTGAACTATATACCTGCGTGTATGCTTTTACAATATTTCATAGGCAGCTGAGGTCATGATAGAGAAACACACCCTCAAGTGGGACCCAAATGGAACTCATCATACAACCCAAGAGGCGCTACTTGCTTGCAACTCGTAGGAGAGCTTGCTCACCATGATCAATAGGCACTACTCATCCAATCCATCTAAGGTGTTCACCTTTCTTATGACACTACAGGAAAAATGGCAAATACCGGCGGTTTTCACCGGCGGTTTATAGATGGTCAAATTACCGGCGGTTACAATACCGGCGGCCTAACCGCCGAAGACCGACGGTTAAAATTCCGGTGGTCACCAGCGGTATTGGCCGCCGGAAAACCGCCGCAAAATAAACCGCCGGTAAAAAGCCGTCGGAAATGGTTTCCTACGCCGTTTTACCGGCGGTTAACAAACCGCCGTTAGACCGCCGGTAACGTTAAAAACCGTCGTAAATCTACACTAACTGCCGGAAAAAACCGCCGGTTTTCAGCGTTTTTCCTGTAGTGTGAGGCGGACTGAGGATTCTTCTGATACATGCTTGGATCACCATCTCATTTAAGGATGTAGTTATGTAGTTAGGAAATTAATAACAACATCAAGCTGCTTCTATAAAAATTTAGAAACCTAATTAATTCAACTTGTAATTTTAGTCTGTAGTAAACCTTTTCGATATTTACCTAGTAATACTGAAGTTAATATGAAAGAAAAGGAAAAAGATCTTAATGGAAATAACATACCCTAGCCAAATTGAAAAATATAAACAATATTGGCTGAAGACTATAAAGTTAGTGTTGTGTAGGAGGTAACCTATAATCAAGTTAAAAATATTATTATATCTAGCTGAAGACTTTAAACTGCGCTTTAAGGTGGGCAACCCAGTTTTTAATTTTTGTGTGATAGATAGGGTTGTTAGTTTTATTAATTTTAATTATTTAAGTTAAAAAAAAAAACTTGAGAGATGAAGGAGCACCGTAGTGTTGAGCCAGGTCTTTATGGTTTAAAAATTCAAATATTAAAACTTTCTCTCACTTGAAAATTATAAAAAAGGTATGTTGAAATTTTAATTCTCAATCCTTGTCAATTTTTAAGCACAATACTATCTTTCTCTTCCTAAAAATTCAACTTAAGCAATGGGTAGAATCAAGAAAAGACATTCCTCCTCTAGGATTAGAAGTTTAAAACATTTGAAAAATGAAGATTCATTTTCTCTTCTCCATATGCAGAGTTCTATTATTATTAATAAACTTCAAAAGATCAATGATGAAGTTTATGAAGATTCAAGATGATACAAGACATATATGATGAAATTCATAAATGTGAGGTTTTAGATTATGAATTTCATCCCGATCAAAATGTTCTATAGTTTGATTACAAGAAGAAGTTTTTCCATGGAAAACTTAAATTTGGATGGGTTAGCCCATATGTTATTATTAGAATATATCTCAATGGTTCCATCAACATTCAAGATAAGAAAACTATTCATATTTTCAAGACCAATGGCCATAGATTGAAACCATGTAGATTAGATGAATAATGGAATCTTAAATTTGGAGAAAGAGAGTATGCGTATTTGTATCTTTGCTTTAGTTGATACCTTTTAGAAAAGAATGCAGTTATGTAAGTAATTGGTATATGTAGTGTGAGCATGATTTATTGTTTTGGCTATTGAAGCAAGTATATTATGTATGGTACCTAGTGCACTAGTTATCTTGTAACCTATGTTATGTTTATGTTATCACATATTTTATACTCTTTTTATCATTCATATGGAAGCATGTATAGTGTTAATTATTGATTGTGTTTCTTTTATTTACATTTTATTGTAATTTCCCTCATTTTGACTATAGTTTTTATTAACTCTTGTA